ACATAATTTGTTTATATAATTTCCGAAAAAAAACTCGGAAGGTGGCCAATTTTGGATTCGTTCTGCACATAATAAGGAAAAAGACGTAAGTATTTTGAAGAACTCAGAAACTCTGCACAGAGAAAAATCTATTGAAAAATTTTTCTCCCCATGAGTTTTTTTCCGAGATTTAACTAATCTCCTTGGATAATTTCATTATTCAAGAATCAAAAGGTAAATTTATCTTCGTTAAGTATAACAATTAATATAAAAAATGAAACCATCTCCAATTAAAAAATTAATGTGAAAAATTTGATTTTTTATTCGCAACGCTTCCAACGTTGTCGCAGGACAACGCTAATGCTTTTCATTCATTATAACTGGTGGGACTCTTGGTCTCGGGGATCCACTCGTTACGTGATGATCTAGTGCAATAAAATAATTGAGAGAAAATTCTATTCAAAAATTTTTCTCCGTATGAGTTTTTTTCCGAGTTTCAACTGATCTCCTTGGATAATTTCATTATTCAAGAATCAGAAGGTAAATATAACGTCGTTACGCGGGGGAGACCGGGGCTTGACGGGATACCCGGGGCCGTTGTCTTAGGTATCCCGTATCAAAAAGGACCACCCCTTGGTAATGAAATATTTTAGTTTAGTTGCGAACAGTCGATGGAGAGACAACGTTTGTTCTCCTGCACCATTATTATTCTTTTCTTGTTTGATTCTCAATCTCCCACTTCAATCTTTTCCCAACCCGAGTGGAAATTAGGGTCAGGTCTTGATCCAGTTTGGATCAGGTTAGACCTGACCACTGATCAGGTATTGATCAAGTTGACGGATCCGGTCTTGATCAGACATGTTACGCCTCTGACCAATCCGGATTTGATCAAGTCAACTGTATGAAAACCGGATGACCTGTCTGTCAGTATCAATAACAATTATCAATGATAAATAATCCAAAACAAAAGATAATTCAATTCTTTCACTGTAGGCCGCCTCTCTTAATGAATCTCTACTGTTATTACCTCTGAAAAAGCTTATTATTTTGTTACCGATGCTGGGGATCGAACCGGGGACCCTGTGATTACTACTCCTATGCCCTAACCACTACGCTATCGTGCTATTACTATTGAGTAAACTGTACATTGCCTATATGATTTGTATCGGGATATTCGTTGAATTTACGATTATCCCTGATCTCGCGGATGTGCGTGTGTATTCTCAGAGATAAAATATGTTCAATTAAATTTTTATTTATTCCATCAATGAATAATAATAATGATAATAACAATAACATTAATAAATAAATAGACATTTGGTGATTTTTTTCTCAAGATCTTTTGCGTGTAAGTTTGATACTCCTCTAATACAAATTTACGGCATCATCATCCCTCTCTTCTGTACATTTGAGAAGGGCTGGCTGTTAATTAAATTGATTAATTAAATTAAATTCATTAAATTAAATTAATTTAATTCAATTTATTTTAATTATAGTATAATGATCCTTTTTAAAGTTTGAAAATAATTATTGATAATGGTTGATAAAAGTTAATTTGAATAATATAATAATAGTTAATTAAATTATCCGAAAAACTTATTAAAATTAATGTCAGGTGGAGTGGATCTGAATCTGATCATTATCTCTTCAATTGACCTCTTTCAAATGCCGATCNGTTAATTTGAATAATATAATAATAGTTAATTAAATTATCCGAAAAACTTATTAAAATTAATGTCAGGTGGAGTGGATCTGAATCTGATCATTATCTCTTCAATTGACCTCTTTCAAATGCCGATCAAGGACATCAAATCCGAATTTGATCAATTCGGGGTCAGGCAGCCGACCTCAAGGTGAGATCGTGCCTACCTGATCAGAACTTGATCTGAATCATCCTGCAGTTTTTCGGATCCGATCTACTGGATCAAAACCTGGTCAGGTTCTCATCAGGCATCATCTGATCATGTCTACCTGATCAGAACTTGATCTGAACCCACCTGTAGTTTTTCGGATCCGATTTGCTGGATCAAAACGTGGTCAGGTTCTCATCAGGAATCACCGGATCAGTCGAACCTTACAAAAACCTGATCAAGTTCTGATCGTACTTCAGGTGGGCCTGAAGCAATTTCCACTCGGGACTGGCGAGTACGCCGTATAAAAGTTTATCGCAATTACAGTATGATGTGGAGGATTATGGATTGCCGACTAATTGGAGCTACCTGTGTAACCCTTGGAAAATGGAATTTCGGCTATCTGACGTTTATACGTTAAAAACATGTATTTTTTGCACGGTTTATCCATATCTCAGTACTGCGGTGAGTTTTTAATCATTTTCTTCTGAATCGCCGACTGAAATCGCGAAAAGTTTCTTTGTTCCTGGAATTCTCATTTGACTACTTCTTTCCTACTCTTCCCTGATTTAATAGTCAAGAGACTATTCAAAACCGTTTTTTAAGCCCGGGGAAAAAAATTATCTCTATTTCGATTTTCCGAGTGATCATTCCGAAATGGTTTTTTTTATGGGGGGGGGCAGTCATTTTTTTCAAATACAAAAAGCATTCTATCCAAAATTGCAGTGATTTTTTTCTTTAATTTTCGTTTGTAAGTAATAGAAAAGTGTGGCCGCGAAACATCATGATATTCTTATTTTTCAATGAAATTCATTTTTTATGAATAGAAGAAAAAAAATCACATCACAAAAGGAATTGTGGAATTTCGAATTCCATACAATTGATTTTTGTTCCCGATTTATCTAAACGCATCTAGTGCTACAATTATAAAAAAATTTCCACGAGTACTTTAACTTTCATAGGATCTTCCTTAAAATCCATCGTATACGATCGTATATTCTTTATAAGGAATGGGAGATGTCTCAATTCTTTCTATTGAATAAAAAAATACCTCTCATTCACAGATAGGAATCTCAGCATGTTTATACCGTAATGCTCTTCTTCCCCTCCATCCAATTTTTCGCAGAACTTGAAAGTAGTGCCTCCTCCTTTATATTGGAATTTTGAAATTTAATGACGAATCGAATCGAAATACAAATACTATCCAAAATTGCATATTTGGACTTTTTGTATCATATCTACCTTACCAAAATCTAAGCAGATGCAAACCTTGAGACACTTTCCGTTTATAATTGCGATCATTCCGATCATTGCTTTCATACATCTGTTCTAACCGGTGGCCTGGCGTAGTGGTTAAGGCCGTTGCCTCACAACGGATAGGTTCCAGGTTCGATTCCTGGCCGGGTAGAATGGTGAGATCTAACCATTTTTAAAGTCTTGATCAATCGCCATATAGTCTCATCAGACTCGAAGCGATATAAAATAAGCATAAAAAAAAAAAANTCAGAGGTGAGCATTATGCTATATGCGAAATTTAGGATTTAATGAAGAAAAATTCACACCGGATAAGAATACGGTCACCCCCGCGGGGATTTGTCGCCGCGTGATTTATGCTCCAGCGCTGGCGAATTCCTTCTAGACTGGCCGGACACGTTTAGCGAGTTTCCAGCAACCTCGCGCAATGAGAAATTTCATTGAACATGGGAAAAATAATAATAATGTTTGTCTCCAAGCATTTCGGATGTAATATTGGGAATAAATACTAGAATTTTCCAGATATTTTAACCCTCTAACCTGACTAAGCATTTCCTTAGATTCCATTTCACCCACTCCAGCGCCCAGGAAATAAAAAGGAACAATAATCAGGTTAAAGGGTTAATTGATGAATAGGGAAGTTGAAAAAACGACAATTTCCTTCGCACGGTGACTACAGTCGGAGCTTAAAACTAAGCACTGAAGCGAGTTCAAATGGAAAAGTCCGGTGAATACGCAGGGGTGCAGCGGCCTCGACCGAACCGGAATAACAAAAATCTAATTTATGCTGGGACTTTCCATGCCTTGTCTTGTTTTGTTCTAGCCGTTCCCCCTTCTGTTCGGTGATTGTTTCACTGAGAAATTACAGCCCTTATCAACGTTGTCTTTCTTGTCGAGCACAACGGTGCCGTGTGAAAATCGCCGAAAATCAAAGAAGAAAGAGAGCAGAGGAACGAAAAGATAAGAATAGGAAAAAAATCAAAACAGTAGTAGTAGGCGCGAAAAGTCTCTGAAACTGAAGGTAATATATGTGACATATTAATTATTGAAGAAGAGGTCTTTTATAAAACTTTTCATTCGCTTGTTAGATTGAAGAACTAGAACAAGAGTTGACGAATGCACGACAGGCTTGTGCCGCCTCTTGTGAAGAGACAATCGAGGAGGCAATAAAACAGTTCCCACCCGGTATGCAAGAGGCTATTCGGGCGTGTTTTGCTTCATCAAAACTTACAGATCCGCGACAGAGACGATATACTTCAGAGTGGATTTATAATTGCATTTTATTCCGGATTAAAAGTAAAGCTTTATATAACCACTTGAGACGGATGGACATTCTCATCCTCCCATGTCCTGATACATTGAACAATTATTTAAAGAATCTCCAATGGCGCCATGGGTTCCAAAAATCAGTATTCGAATGTTTAAAACTAAAGTCAACTGGAATGTCACCAGCGAGTCGAAGAGGTATGTTTCCTCATATCACCTTTGCATTTCCTTGTGATAATAATCGAAATGACTCATTATAGGTGCATTGTTAATCGATGAAATGAAGTTGAGTGAAAATCTCTTTTTTGACTCAACAACAATGACGTTCAAGGGCTTCAGAGATCTCGGTCCGTATACTCCAGAAAATAGGACAAAATCACTCGGTGATCACGCGTTGGTTGTTATGTTTTAACCATTGTAAGGTAGCTGGGTTCAAACGCTGGGCTGTTTTTTAACAAATGGAAGTGCTTCTGGGGAAACACTTCATAAGCTCGTTATTGACGCAGTAGCACATGTCGAAAATTCTGGATTCTTCGTTGATGCTGTAACTACCGATGGAGCTTCGCGAAATCGTAAAATGTGGAAGAAGTTTGAAATAGATGAAAATAATGTTGGCTGTAAACATCCTCTAAATGATGACCGCAAATTATGGTTTTTCTCTGATTTTCCCCATCTAATCAAAACTTCCGTAATTAGGTGGTAAAAACCAAAATTTTCATGGTAAATAATATTTATTACGTTTGAATATGACTAATCTTCACTCATTTATTTTCATATTTTCATTGTCCTGGATAATTGTTATTTGAATATGACTGCGTGCTTTCTGATGGAATTTTTTTAAAAATTATTTTAGACACCTGACGGCGGTGTTACATTAGATAATTGGGAAGTTGTACTGAGAGCTGAACCACCAGATTCACCGGCCCCACGCCTTGCTCATGTTTTGTCAGGGGAACATTTAAATCCAAGTGGATTCCGAAAGATGAATGTACCGATGGCATTTCAAGTAATGACAGACATCATCTACAATCGGGCCGGGCTTACTTACACGACTACCATAAACACACTAATGACTTTATTCCAATGATTTTCAGCTATTTTGCTCGCAAGTTCAAGCGGCAATGGCCCTCCATGTTAAAGAGAGTTTGCCTTCTAGACTGTTCTGCAAGAGAGTCGACGATTTGATCACGGCCATGATGTCTCGAACTCCAGCAGGAGCTTTAGGTCACAATTCTGTGCACAAGAAGGTATGATGAATATATTCATTGAATTTTGTTTCCCCGGAACATATAATTCAATTAATAACTACAAAATATTTTCATTTTCAGTTGACTGCAGATTTCTTATCATATTTGAAGCAATGGGAAGATCTGTGCAATACCAGTGATCCAGTATTGACGTGTCTCTCAGCACCGATACTGCTTGGATTGAAAGTTACTCTCCAGGCGACCCTCGAGCTTTTTGATTATCTTCATACGAGGCACGGTTATCAGTATCTCATGACTTGTCGCGTCAATGAGGATGTACTCGAGGCAATAATATTTCAAAATTTGTCCGATAGAATACCATGCATTGAAAAATTGTATAGAAAAACCTAGCGAGTTCGCTAGACAATTCTATTGGATTTCTATAGAAATTTTCATTAGTTTTTGGTTGTTCCTATTAGAATTTTTTACAGAAAAATCTAAGAGAACTCTTTTTTTTTCATGCAACTATCCTATTGAGGTAATTTCCTTAGAATTTTCCCGGATCAAATTGGTTAGGTTGCCATCATTGTATTTTAATTTTTTTTAATTAAGAATATCAAACCTAAACACTTGGATAATTTAGCCCGAGGAAATCCTGCAGAAAATATGACAATGAAATTCGTTGAACAGGAAAATCGAATGCTATCGGATTTTTCAAAATGAAATCTTTCCTAGTCAATATTATAGAAACCGCCAATTTCCTCATACGTGATGATATTTTTGAATGATATACTCTTGAATATTCTTTTCAGAGGTTCCTCGGTCTCGTCCGAGCAGCATGTGGGTGCAACGACCATCCTAATGCACGATAGTTTGCGCAGATATATCGATTGATGAGCGCATATTCATTAACGAAACCTCTAAAAAATAGTAATATCTCCGGAGGAGACATCTTAGAAACGTTGAAAAGTCTCAAAGATCAGACAAAGTTGGAGAATTCATCCAGAAAACAAGAATGGTTGGATTTACTGGACGCAGAGCTCAATAATATTGAATACGTTGCCTTCAGCGAGGGACAGCGTGGGTGATCGAAATTTTCCAGCTTATCATCCTCTCTTAAATCACGATTATTGCATCTTAAACTCGGAAATCGAAGACATGGAGATAGACGAGGAACGACCTGGCCAGCAAGAAACACAGCCTGGATGGGATCACAATTACCACATCATAAGTACGAGTGACTATGTTGAAAGTTATATAGCTGGATACATCGCTCGAAAAATCGGAGGATATACCCGGTGCCAGGCCTGTCTACAGTGTACGCGATCATCTCATCCCGACAAAAGAGATGAAGCTATCAAATTTTTATCCAAAGGATATTTAATTTATCCCAGTCCGAATCTATTTGCCTTAACTAAAGCAATAGAGAAGATTGTTTTGGCAGAAGTTTCGGAGAATGGAATTCAATTTGATACAGTTCTCAGAATATCTGATCAAGTACTGGCAGCAATTGGATGTACCCCAGAATTTCCATTGATTGGATGTAAAGAACACTGCCACACATTGACCAAACAGGTGATCAATTTTTATGTGGTGCTACGTGGTCATTTTCTAGCGAAATTCTTCAAAAGATTGAATGATGGCAAAAAGAAAAAAATCCAAACATTGAGGAAACAAATAAGAGTGATTTAGAAGAAAATGCATAGAAGGATATGATTGGTATTTTTAAGAAGATAAATATTTGAATTGTGAATTATTAGTAGAATTGACTAATAGGAATATTTAGTAGAGCGACAATTACTTTATATATTCGTTAATTGTTGTTTTAATGTGATTGTTGCATTTTTTCTAATTGAAAAAACTAAATGGAATAACTTGCACTGGGCCACGTGTTTTTGGGACAATCGATGGAATTAATTATTGTAGTTATTTTACTCCTTGGCTTACTTTTCATGTATTATATTAATAGCCGCCTTCATTTACTATTTGGAGTTTAATTATATTCCGTTGCAATGTATTTTTATTAATAAATTATTTTTACGTTCTTAGAAATAGGATACAGATTCATGTGCTTTAAGCAGAGATTATAGGGGAGATGAGCATGGCCAATGTAAAGTGTTCAACAGCAAAATTCGTAGCGGCGGCACATGGACTAGGATGGGACGTACGGAACTGTTGGTATGGTAGGGCCCGAGTATAAATTTGTCGATAACCGGAAAGGGGTTCTCAATACGGTAGCTCCTCGCATTTTGTAATAATTGTCAGGAATGTAAAATCGAAAATATTATAATCAATAGTATAATGAATGCACAATCTAATGATCTAAAAGTCTTTTCCTTTTTCTCGACATATTTATTATTGACACGTAGGTCAAAAAATTCATAGAAAATCCCAGCAATGTCGCTGGAAAACTATAGTTTTCCAGTGATTCTATTAAATAATTGTGCAGATTTTGTTTTTTTTTACTATAGTAATGTTCGATTATGTATATTTATTCCCCTCCCTGAGTGAGAAAGGAATATGTATCGCGCTCGCTCCCACTCATTGTCGTCTCCGTCGCGTTGGCACGTGCCCGTCCTCCGCCAAACTAAACGAGTGCGAGTGAGAAAGAAAATGGAGAAGAAGGAGAGAGAAAACATTCCAACTCGTTTGAACGGTTGGAACGTTTACGTTGTTCTCCAGCGATCTACACATAATGGGATTGATTCAATAATAATAGATTAATGAATAAGATTTTTCGCAGATTATTGCGAGATTTAGATGAATGGTTTGCCTCCTTCAGTGACCATAAAAAATTGTCTCCAATCGACAATATCTCCCGATGGAATGGAACGATGTGAATGAATCAATTGATACTTAAGTATCAATTTGAATCTTTAAAAAATTAATCGAGAGTGAAAAAAAATCAGGGAATTTAACTCTGCCATTATGGAGTTATTGACGAGTGAAGTTTATTCACTGTACTCTGACATTTCTCTATTGTCTGTATTTACCGAGAAAAAAAAACGTTGTTCCTAGGAATCGATGTGTCTTTTTTAGGCAGCTGCATTTCTGAAATGCAATGAGCAAGCAATGTTAAAATTAAGTCATTTAGAAATAATTTCCAGTGACATGATCCTGAAAATCAAAGGAAAGTCTTGAATTCAGGAATGATGTCTGTAGGTTTCAGTAATATTTTCGCGGAAATTCCGGGAACATTTATTGGGAATTTTTATCGCGTTGCCGTAATACGGAAATTTCAAGGAATTTCGTCATTGCAAATTAAAAATTTCTATAAATTTCAGTCCAATTATATGTGTACGTCCACGTGAAAAGGGCCCATTTTATCGCATCTAATTTCCGAGATATTCACGTTTTTCTCTCCACTCCATTTATCCCATTGTTAAACTGATTTTTTGATCTTCTATACGGACGTCACATGGAGAAAAATAAATCGGTAAAAGCCTTGCGATCGCAAGGAGTTTCCCGAAGATCCCCATTTTTCATGCACGAAGAACAATGAAGCTTTTTGGAATCTTCGGGAAATTCTATCCTATCCTACTCAAGTAGGAGCGGAGGAATGAATTTTCAAAAGCGCGGAGTAACCCCGAACGGTTCTCCGGCGTAGAGTGAGCGCTGGGGGCTCCCCCGATTAGAAAATTCATTTCTCCTCCCCCCCGCCGCCGCCTAATTGCGAAGAGGAAATGAACGCAACATCTATCGATCGAGAATAATATTCTTAATAAATGACAGTGGTTTCATTCCCTTAGTCTCTATTAGGAGAGGAGGAATGAATTTTCAAAACGCGCAGTAAATCCGAACAAGTTCTTCTCATTCAAAAATTAATTTCCCCCCTCCCTAATTGAGATGAAGGAATGAAACCAAAGTCTACAGATTGAGAATTGCATTTTTAATAAATGACATCGGTTTCATTTCGCCATCTGAGTTAGGAGCGGAGGAATGAATTTTCAATAGCGCGGAGAAACCCCAAACGGCTCTTCGACGTCGAGTGAGCTCGGAGAAACTCCCCCGATTGGAAAATTCATTTTTTCCACCATAATTGAGATGGAGGATTGAAGCCAATGCCGATCGTTCGAGAATTAAATTCTCAATAAATGACAACGATTTCATTCCTTAATCTCAAGTACGAGCGGAGGAATGAATTTTCGAACGCGCGGAAAAATCCCGAATGGCTCTCCGGCATCGAGTGAGTCCGGAGGGGCTCCCCTGATTGGAAGATTCTTTCCACCCCCCCTCCCCCTAATTGCGAAAAGGGAATTAAAGCACCATCTATCGATCGAGAATAATATTCTCAATAAATGACAGTAGTTTCATTTCTTAATCTCTATTAGGAGAGGAGGAATGAATTTTCAAACCGCGCAGTAACTCCGAACAAGTTCTTCTCATTCAAAAATTAATTCCTCCCCTCCCTAATTGAGATGAAGTAATGAAACCAAAGCTTACCGATTGAGAATTAGAATTAGAATTATATTTTTAATAAATGACATCGGTTTCATTACTTAATCTCAAATAGGAGCGGAGGAATGAATTTTCAAAAGCGCGGAGAAACCCCGAACGGCTCTCCGGCGTCGAATGAGTCCGGAATAGTCCTATGAATGAAGGTCTAACATACGAATGTTTGCTAATCAGGCTCCATTTTTTATACAATTTGGGATTTGGGCGTATGACACAAATGGCGGATGTTTAAGGTTCCCCAAGTTTGTGCGGGGGTTGAAAAAGCCAAAAAACAACCCGTGAAAAGCGTTTTTTCGAAATAACTCGTGAATAACGCGTTGTACGTCAAAAATGTAATGTAACAAAGTTGTAGAGCTCAAAATTCTACACAAAAAATGTTCGGGGCACTTTACCTCTATTTCCAACCGTTCATCCCCCAAAGCCGCGTGAAGATCAGATGGGAAAAAAAATGTTTTCCATTTAAAAAATTGAAGTTAATGAATTTTTTTTTTGTAATTCGAAATATCAGTGTTTTTCTTTCAATAGC